ATAGAATAGAATAGAATAGAATAGAATAGAATAGAATAGAATAGAATTCTTCATTGGCCAAGTGTGGTTGGACACACAAGAAATTTGTCTTTGGTGCAGTGTACATAGAGAAAAAATAAAACGCATTCATCAAGAATCATAAAATACAGCGCTTAGTCATAGGTTACTAATCATACTAGGGAACAATAAAAAACAATATAAATTGTAAAGATGCAAGCAACATGATTACAGTCATAAGTTGGAGGAGATGGGTAATAGGGAGGATGAGAATAATAATACTACTACTAATAATATATAGTTTGACAGTGTTATGGGAATTAGTTGTTTAGCAGAGTGATCGCATTCAGGGTTTCCCCTTAAAACTCTTGTTTTAAGAGAGGGAGTGAAGGCAGGACAGCATCTCCAGACCCTGTTTGAGGGGGTTGCACTTGGCTCCTACCATTGGCTGACCCGTTAAAGCTCAGGGGGTGTTGGGTGAACCTTCCTATGCGTAAGATATTTTATTTATTTATTTTTATTTTATTTATTTTGATTTGTCAATTGCTTACAAGATAATAGGTATAAATATATACATAGTTACGAATACGTGAAATGGGTACATATAAGAAAAATAAAAGAAACAATAGGACAGGGACGGTAGGTGCGTTGGTGCGCTTATGCACGCCCCCTACATGACTTGGCTACATGACTTGGCTATATGACTTGGCTCTCCGAAGGTCAACCCTGAAAAAGGGAAATGGAGCATCATAAAGCCGGGGACGCGTCCTAAAAGAGGGACGCGGTGGCTCAGTGGCTAAGACACTAAGCTTGTTGATTAGAAAGGTCGGCAGTTCGAATCCCTAGCGTCACATAATGGAGTGAGCTCCCATTACTTGTCCCAGCTTCTGCCAACCTTGCAGTTCAAAAGCATGTAAAAATGCAAGTAGAAAAATAGGGACCACTTTGGTGGGGAGGTAACAGCGTTCTGTGCGACTTCAGCATTTGGTCATGCCGGCCCACATGACCATAGAGACGTCTTCGGACAGCGCTGGCTCTTCGGCTTTGTAACGGAGATGAGCACCTCCCCCTAGAGCCAGAAACGTCTAGCACGTATCTGCAAGGGGAACCTTTACCTTTCTCTATTTTTTTCAGAGGTATATTTTTTAACAAGGGGAGGGAACTCTGCACATGCTCTGAAGAGCCCCCTTCAAATGAACCCTTACCTTTAAAGCCAGGGTCGTGTCCTTGCCTTTCATTTGGAGTTTCATGGTTTGCTAATTTGTTTGGGGTTTGACTTGTTGCATGAACCCTGCTTGGAGGTGAATATAGGTCTAGTTTTTAAAAAGCAATCCCTTCCTTGTGAAAAAAAAAAAGAGAGAAAGAAATAGAAAATGTTCCAACATTTCAGGACTCTGAATCCTTGATGAAAATAAAATATTTTTCAACCGTGCATCGCAAGCACTCAATGGGATGCTCAATACCATTGCAATCCCATATCCGGTCAGAAAAATATTTTCCTTCCATGGGGATTGATATTGCTCAGTGGTTCAATCCACCACTTTCTAATTCTTGGGATTAAGTTAAGGTCATATGAAATGAGAATATTGCTATTTTTATTGTCAGAGTACCTTTATTGTCAGAGTGAGATTGGCTGAGCATCCCTTCGTGCACCCTCCCACACATACAACTCCCAGTGCTGACGTACCTTTGAAAGAAAACCAGGAAGCCTGTAATGGTAGAAATCTGTCTGGCAAGAACAAAGAATGCTTATTCACAGGGAATATGCACCTGTAAAGCCTGTAACAATTCTGGGTGATTAGAAAGCTGCTAAAAATAAGAGTTAGACAAGAAAAATCAAATGCACAGGTACAGTATATGTGGTACCTTGCTCAATAGTACCGACGGTGAGAGGAATCTCGGACAACCATTTAAATGTGAGCCAGTCATGTGCAGCAGCTGCCAAAAAAGCCAACACAGTTCTAGGCTGCATAAACAGAGGGATAGAATCAAGATCACGTGAAGTGTTAATACCACTTTATAAGGCCTTGGAAAGGCCACACTTGGAATACTGCATTCAGTTTTGGTCGCCACAATGTTAAAAAGATGTTGGGACTCTAGAAAGAGTGCAGAAAAGAGCAACAAAGATGATTAGGGGACTGGAGGCTAAAACATATGAAGAACGGTTGCAGGAACTGGGTATGTCTACTCTAATGAAAAGAAAGACTAGGGGAGACATGATAGCAGTGTTCCAATATCTCAGGGGCTGCCACAAAGAAGAGGGAGTCAAACTATTCTCCAAAGAACCAGAGGGCAGGACAAGAAGCAATGGATGGAAACTAATCAAGGAGAGAAGCAACTTAGAACTAAGGAGAAATTTCCTGACAGTTAGAACAATTGATCAGTGGAACAACTTGCCTTCAGAAGTTGTGAATGCTCCAACACTGGAAGCTTTTAAGAAGAGGTTGAATGACCATTTGCCTGAAGTGGTGTAGGGTGTTGTAATGACGAGGCAGTCGAGTTGTTTGATCATGATCAACTGAACCATGATGATCTTTATTGGAGTCTAGTCTTGCATTTATACACATTTTTAATTATCCCCCCTCATTGGTTAACTTTGGTTACTGCTTAACTTTCGTTACTGTTTAGCATAGTAATTAACACAATTAATTATCTCTAGTTAAAGTCTAACACAGGTTTACTTCCTCTCTCTAATCCTCCTTTAGATTAGTGACTTTGTTTGCCTGAGTTGTATTTGCTTGGAAACGTTCTTTATCTGAGGTTTGCCATCCGAGATTGGAACATTCCTGCAATTACAACTCTACAGTAGGGTTTCCTGCCCGGGTAGGGGGTTGGACTAGAAGACCTCCAAAGTCCCTTCCAACTCTGTTGTTCTATTCTAATATAGACATCTTGCAGAGCTCAGCTAGAAGTTAAGAATAGAGATGGCCTGGAGCAAACAGAGTGTGTATTAGGTAATTCCTGGAGCGTTCATTAGCCAAGACTTAGGAACAGGGATTGGTAGAGACTAATGGAATAATTGTTAGATCATTACTAAAATGTTTATTAGATGGTATTTCTTATACATCCTGCCTTATCCTGCCTTCAGTTTTCTAACAGAAGAATTAATCGGTAGAATGATTTCCCTCCAGAAGTTATGGGTGCTCTGACACTGGAAATTTTAAAGCAGAAATTGAACAAGCGTCGTATAGCATCCCCCGCTTGAGCAAGGGATTGGATTAGAAGACCTCCAAGATTGCTTCCAACTCTGTTGTTCCGTTCTGTTCCGCTCTGCTTATTTTCTTTTCCATCTTAGATGCAACCTGGAAGCCATTTGTTCTCTTCATGTAGAGATAAAATTATCTATTGCCTGAAGAGGGCTGAACGTCCAACTAGCAACAGAGCTGCAGCGGCAGAAACAGTGCTTTGAATGCAAATTTGTTTGGAGAGCCAGCCACAAGATCCCTTGGACCCATTTGGCGTTGCCTTACAGGAGAGAGAGAAAGAGAGAATGGAGACTCAACCTTCAGTGAGTGAGGGAACTGGAAGAGGTTGTTCTGTTGTTCAGCCTGGGGACTGCAAGGAGGTCTGGCCAAGAACTGGGCAGAAGGTCCTGGAGAAGGAAACTATTGTCCCTTCAGAACTTCAATCCTGGAACTTCAGGAGCGTCCAATACCAGGCTTCTGAGGATCCCCGAGGACTTTGCAGCCAACTCCATGACTTTTGTAGTCGATGGTTCAAAGCAGATAAGCGTACCAAAGCCCAGATGCTGGACCTGGTTGTTTTGGAGCAGTTCCTGGCTCTTCTTCCCCTGAAGATGGAGAACTGGGTGCGAGAGTGTGGAGTAGAGACTAGCTCCCAGGCGGTGGCCTTGGTGGAAGGCCTTTTCCTGAGCCAGGCAGAGGAGCAGAAGGAGCAGGTGAGAGACCTCCCCTTTGGGAGCCCAGAATGGAATTGTCAGGATTCCGGAGATTGCCCTAATTAAATCATGAGCCTTGAGCCAAGCTTCAAAAGAAACCAAAAGATTTATTAGGAGCAACATGTCCGGCATTAATCTGTATGAAGCCAACTCTGGCGTACATAATTTACAATCAGACGATCCGGTAGCTTAGCTACAATCTTTGTAAGATAAGTATTGGAATGTATTTCTGGTTTTAAACGGCTTTACTGCTCCTTCATATTCCCCCCTGCCCCCGCTTGTTTATGGCAACTCTAAAACAAGCATAGGAATGCTTTACAAGTTGACAGGAATAAAGAATGTGGTTGACTTTTTCATCCTTCCCTACCAGAGGTTTCTGGCACTCATAATATGTGGAGATGTTTCCATCATTCTTGTAGGATATTGTTTCGTTACTTATTTTAGAAAATTGGCATTTCTTGCTTACTTTCCACCCTCACTGTTGAACTGTGGAGGCTTTCAAGAATCCATTTCATGTTGCGCGATGTCCACTAATTCTTCTTTTTTTCCTGTCTCCTATTTCAAAGTCTTTCACAATGGGTATCAGATATCCTGAGGGAAGCAGGAATCCATCAAAATCCACTCAGGAGCTGTTCTTGAGGAGCATTTCTCTGGAAGATCCAAGTCAAGATATTTTGGGAGGTAATCAAAGGTCCTCCGTTCTCCAGAAAGTTCCAAGCTCTCTCCTCTTCTGTAAAACATGTCTTCTTCTTTTACCAATTACGCTTTTTAAAATTCTGTTTTTACCTCACAGGGAAGACTCAAGTGGAGTTGTCTTCTCTTTATGGTGCAGCTGAAACAGTGGTTGAACCTCCAACTCAAGTAAGAGGAGCAAATTCATTCATTAAATTTATCTTCTCCCTTTCCTTCAGAAAGTCATAGTGGTAAACAGAGCTTTCTCTCCTTCCATGCTCTAGAAAAAGAATAGGATAGGATAGGATAGGATAGGATAGGATAGGATAGGATAGGATAGGACACTATACTAATACTATACTATACTATACTATACTATACTATACTATACTAATACTAATACTAATACTAATACTAATACTAATACTATACTTTATTGCCACTTTGAATATACACTAATTGGCATACATTAAAATGAAATTATGCTATCCTGCTTGGAAAAATCCAAGGAATTTTTCTCTGCTTCCTCATCTTCACTCAGCCAATGACTCAGACAGAAATGATAGATGGAAGGAAGGGAGAAAGGAAAGAGAGATGATATATACATATAGAGAAATGATAAACAAATAGATGATAGATAGATAGATAGATAGATAGATAGATAGATAGATAGATAGATAGATACAATTATATAGATGATAAAGAGATAGATATAGATGATAGATATTTAGAGAGGGAGGGAGGGAGAGAGAGATGATAGAGAATAAATAGAAAGATAGATGGTAGAGAGAGATTAGATAGATAGATAGATAGATAGATAGATAGATAGATAGATAGACAGACAAACAAACAGACAAACAGACAAAGAGAATAGATAGAGGATAGAGAGAGATGATAGAGATGTTAGATATAGAGGGAAATTATAGAGGATAAATAGAAAGATAGATGGTAGAGAGAGATAATAGATAGATAGACAGACACACAGACATAGAGGATAGATGGATAGAAAGAGATGAGAGAGAGAGAGAGAGAGAGATCCATAAGGAAACTAGGATTGCTTTCATTGAAAGGCACCGAAAGTCTTGCCACATCAATCGTTGATTAAAATTACCTGAATTATTTCTTCATTCAAAGCCTATTTTTTTTCATCTCACCCTTGGAATCCTATCAAGCACAGCCATTTAACCTAGTGTATATCTTTGCTTTGGGAAAACCTCCTTGAGCCTATTTGGTTTCTTTGTTTCCCTGTTCAGGAGGGTCTTGTGTCCTTCAAGGAGGTGGCTGTGTATTTCTCTGAGGAGGAGTGGTCTGAGCTGGATCCGGACCAAAAAGCCCTCCATTGGGAAGTCATGATGGAAAATTATAGGAATGTAGCCTCACTAGGTAAGTAGGTTGGCTGCTCCCCAGTCAGAGAGTTTTGTGATTAAAGGCCATCAGCGGTTTCATATTAAAAAGTTTCTAACCAGGTGTTCCAAAGGTGCTTTTTTCGAAAGGCAACTGGACTTCCTTTGTTTTTCCTTGAAAACATTTTGCTTCTCAGCCAAGAAGGTTCTTCAGTTCGGACCAAATGGTGGAGCATGGAAGGATTTATCTTCCATCCCATTCCTTCCAAATCCTTCCATTCTCTACCACTGAATCAGAACTGAAGACGTTTTATCACTATCTATCTACCCATCAATCAATATCCTATCTGTCTGTCTGTCTGTCTGTCTGTCTGTCTGTCTATCTATCTATCTATCTATCTATCTATCTATCTATCTATCTATCTATCTATTTTCCATCCCATTCCCATACCATCCAGTCAGAAATGAAGAAGCTTCTCTCTCTCTCTCTCTCTCTCTCTCTCTCCCTACCTACCTACCTACCTACCTACCTACCCACCCACCCACCCATCCATCCATCTTCTATCTATTCTATTCTATCTCTTTTCCATCCCTTTTCTGACAAATCCTTCCATTCTTTATTATTCAGTCAGAACTGAAGAAGCTTATCTATCTATCTATCATCTATCTACCTACCTATCCATCCATCCATCTTATATCTATTCTGTTCTATCTTTCTATTTTCCATCCCATTCCTTCCAAATCCTTCCATTCTCTACCACTGAATCAGAACTGAAGATGTTTTATCACTATCTATCTACCCATCAATCAATATCCTATCTGTCTGTCTGTCTATCTATCTATCTATCTATCTATCTATCTATCTATCTATCTACCCACCCACCCATCCATCTTCTATCTATTCTATTCTATCTCTTTTCCAGCCCTTTTCTTCCAAATTCTTCCATTCAGTCAGAACTGAAGAAGCTTATCTATCTATCTATCTATCTATCTATCTATCTATCTATCTATCTAT